TTCTTTCTGGTTTTCATAGATTTATTTATAGCACAGCTGTCTTCTGCTGTTAAGCTTATCTATCTATTGCTTCCCTCCATGTCCAGGTTTTCTTTTAGCAACTATTTTCTTAAACTTTTCCTGTGCCAGGTCTGTAATTGAAAAAGCAAAACAAAACCAAAGGGAAGGGGGAAATCCCAAATGAAACCGTGTCATGTCATTTCTGCAGCAAGCCCATTACTTCCAGAGGCTGTGTTCCTGTAAGCTCCTTAAGCTTTCTTTTCTCTTTATGGGAAATAAGGAACTCCTCATTTTTTTGAGAGTATTGGCTTGTGTGTGTAGATGGATTGAGTTAGACAGCAGAGGTTGTTACTACCTTTATTTGCTCTGCCTCCTGAATAGCTGTACTGGACTTGAAGTAGCTTCTGAAAAGGAGAAAAGCAAACAATCTGGGCAATAATTGCTTTGGCTATCTGACTTTAATTTGCCATCGTTCCTGAGTCAGGAGAAGTTTGTGCTCAGCTCTTGTGACCTTGAGGATGATTGCCTGCAGCATTTTTAAGACAGAACTGTTTGCGTGAGGACTCTTTCTCTGCCCCTGGTGAAGCTCTCCTCTCCTCTTTGATTCAAACATCCATCCAGACACACGCAGTATTGGTTTATTTTCTGCTTAGAAATGATAATAAGAGACACAAATATCCCTTATTCATTGGAGAATGTGAGCTGATATTTAAATTCCATCCATGAGAACATGTTCTTTCAAAGCCTCTTCAAAGGAGCCTGGGACTGCCTGTTTCCATGAATGTTTGTTGAGAGCTCTTTAAATTCCTAAACCACTGTCAACTAATAAATGAATATAAATTATCTCTGAAACAGGTTCATTTAACTCTTGTCTAATGTGTAGCATTTGGCCTGTCAGAGTCAAAATACTGTGACTTATTTTTGTATGGCAAATTGAGTACTTTGTTTACTGAAATTGCTGAGTTGTTGTATAATGAGCAGAGCCTGGATTGCTCTTACTTTTTCACGGTAAGAATTTAAAGGGCAGGTCATGGGGTGTTCTCCTCCAGCTGCAAAATATTTTTGATTATCTGTTCATCTTCTGTTACATATTTCATAGGCAGTGCTGTAGTTAGCCAGAGGTTTTGGAATTAGTGACTTGCATTTTGCTTTCAAACTTGCTGTCCTTAGTGAAGCTCCATACAGGTAAAGAGCAGAATTTGGTGTGATTAATTGAACACGCTGTATCTGAACACAGACAATTATGTTTATAGATTGCTAATAGATTACTAGAAGATAAAGCAAACATAATTGGGAACATAAAACTTGTTGTGTGTTGTAAAGCTGCACCTTGTATCATGTAACATTCAGCATTTTTTCCAACTTTGAGCTGGAAGTCTGAATTGAAGCTGTAGCTCTGTTACTTTTATTCCTGCATGACTTAACACAAATGATGTTGAATGCTTTTTGCTGTGATGTTTTGGAGTTGGTTTGTTGGGTTTTTTTTGGTAGAAGCTTCCACATAGTAAGATATCATTACCATTTTGCCAAAGATTTAGTAAATAATGATGCAGATAAGAAATACACAGTTTTAATAATCTCTTTGGATCTTGGGGAGGATCACAGGCTTGGGGTAATGATTTCTACCCCTGTCCCCAAATCTACTATGTGTTATTTAGACAGATCTAATGCATTAAAATTAAGCAGTGCCTGATGGTAAGAGCTGTGTTTCCTGATGGCCTGAATTTGGCATTCTGTGACCAATAAACCTGATCCCAGGTTGGAGGAAGAGGGGAGGTCATGCTGCACCCTCGAAGTCTCTGACTTGGCAGAGGGACGTGAGCCCTCGGCTGCATCGGGTGTTAGAGCTGCTCTGTGTTTCTCTTCCTCCTCCAGTGGTTTTTCCTTTTCCTCTCCTTTTTTTCCAGCAGAGTTGAGTGCTGTCTGTTGTTGCTAATTGCAGATAATGTAGTACTGACATTTTGAAAAGTATACAGAGATGATATTCACCCAAAGGATGATACTCCTATCTTCAGAGATGCTGATACAATTTTGCTGGCATAGAGTCATTTAGTGATGAATTGCAGTAATAGCAGTTCAGGACCTACAGCATATTAGTGAAAATGAATCCACTGAGCTCTAGTCCCGTGGCACTACAACAGCACTTAAAGAACACTGATTTTCTTGAAGGGAGGAAAATCTGATTAAAAGATTTAGCTGTGGGTTTGTTTTGGTTTTGCCTTTTTTTCTTTTTTTTTTTTTTACCAGCAATGAGTTATTTGTATTTGTTTCTTGATATATGTTATTATAAGGAATTTAATGTATGTAAGAAAACCAGGGAAGAACCATAAACACAGAACATGGATTTCTGTTTTAGCAGATGGAAGACTCATATATGCTACAGTAAGCAGAGACATAACAGTAGTACTGCTTTAATTTTTTTGCTATAAACTGACCTAATGCCTGGTTATAAAAGGAAAGAAGATCAACATCCTAAAATTGAGAAGATATGCAATAATGTACACAGTGGTGGGTCTCTGTGGCAAAAATGTTGTAGAAATGAATGCAATAATTGGAAAGAATTATTCTAATAGAAGGATGGAGCAACCTATTATTGAAATAGTTGTCTAATTTGAGGGAAGTAGGGATAAAGACAGGCTTCATGTTAATAATGCCGTTGGTGCTTTTCACGGGAACAGAGTGTTCTTTTCAGCTCTGGAGTGTGATCAGTGGAGAACAGAAATGTCCCCAGCATAATGCTGGACTTCCTTGTGTCATCTCCTTTAAAATCACCCAAATGCTAGAAAATCAGATGGATCTGGAATACAAGAATTCCTAAAACAGGAGAAAATACACAAGTATGCAGCCCCCTCCTTTCCTCCTTCCCCACCCTTATGTCCTACGTGTCTATCTGGGAGGAGGCATATTTGGGATGTGCCTACAGCTGAAAGCAGCTCCAAGTAGAAATCCTTTTCTGCTCTCAGTAACTTTGAAGGCAGCACCTTTCTAAGTCCCTGTGTTTAAAACAGCCCTACTATCTGAAATCTCACTTTGATTTGTATATGCTTTGCTTCCAGTCTTTATAATTGACCTTGACCACCGGTGTAACTCCCACCAGTTACACTTAAAGAATCATTAAACCATTTTAATTGTCTCTTCCATATACTACAACACGCTTGAAAAGATTTCAGAATACGTGTGATGTATCTTTAGGTGGTGATTTCACCATTGCTGGGGAATCTATGGGGGAAAAATAAAGGAGTGCCAATAAATAGGCTCTTTTTGGTCAAATATGATGTAGTCTCTTAATACATGAGTCTGTATGTGTAAGAGGCAGTAGAGATGTTCTGAAGAACTAGGGTTTATGGATAGTTACACTGTTTTAGGGCTAATCTAGGCTACAGCTTTGTTAGGTTGACAAATTAAGGATTATTTGAAGATATGAGCAACCATCAGTAGTTTGTGCAAGAGCTCTTTTGTGCTGAGGGCAGGGATACACTCCTAATGTTGGCTACATTCAATGTGTCTGCTTATATGAGGGCAATAAAATAAGTATTTGCTGCATCTGCTGCTCTACTATCTTTGGGAAAAGAGAAAAAAAATTGATATATAAGTGTATGGAGGGAGCACTGGTATTTATAGCAGATGGCTTTGTTGGGTAGATGTGTGTCTTCACACACTGATCAGATGATGAGTTATGATGAAGAAATACTTTTCTCTATTTTGTAATATGACAAGCAGCATACCCCTTTTTTCCAATTCTCCTGCAGTTTCTCTAAGTTCAGAAAGTCAGAGGAAGACTTTTTCTGAATTATAATTAAAAAAAATATAAATCAGTGAGTCGGTGTTGCTTTCAGCTAGATCAAGAAGCTTCCCAGTGTGAAGATCCAGGATTGGACAAGGTATTCTAAAAATGCTATAACCAGCTGTAAAATAAACTGAAAATTTTAAGGCTGTGTTGACAGCACTGTCCAGCAGCTAAAATGATTTTTTTTTAATGAAAAACATTTGGAATTTGTAGGATTAACAAGGTATTTTTTTTTACATTCCTAGAGAAAGAGTTGAATTCCAAATTTTAAGATGTATCTTTTTGCCTCAAATTAAAATGTTCTGCTTCAAGTAGGAAGAGCTATTGGTTTCCAATTTTAAAATCCAGATTTCTTCTGACAAATTACAATTTAATTACAGAAGTATTTAAAACACAGCAACAGCGCACATAAATTTCGAGGTGCATTCAGTGAATACAGATTAGAGAACTGAGGCAAATAAGTCTGGAAAATGCTTGATAAGGTAACACAGGAGACGAGTTGAACTGTCTCAGTAAAGACTAAAGATTGTACTGTGTTATAGTAACTATTGTTTGTAATATCTTACAGGTTGACTTCAGTCACATAAATTAGGGATAAACAAAATTTTATTTCTTTATGCTTGATTTTGTTTCTTTGTGCTCGAGTTTGTCCTGTACAGGATAATGTCAATGGTGTAAAAAAGACTTTGATATTCAAAGTTTTCATTTAATTTCCTTCTGAAAGAAATATCATTAAAAATTCAGAAGGGGAAAGTAAAACAGACAAGATTCATATGCCATTAATGGAATTATATTAAGAGTTGTAATAATATCCCTTAATCTTAAAAAGGTAAGTCTCTTACAGAATTAAGGTTTTTCTGCTGCTTTTCATGCGGTGTCAAGTATTTTGGTTAATAGAAGTTGCTGATGTGAAAGCATCTTCACTAATCCTGTTTGGAGAGAGGCTTGTTCTGTGCTCATTAGAAAAGGTACAAGATATTATAGGTTCCTCGTTAAAAAAAACCTACTTAATTACATCCTAGGAGAAGCAGATACCAAATCTGCTGGCAGGTTTCCCTTGGACTCACCTCTAAAGCAGCAAAAGTTAGTTGGTGTGAGCAACGCCACGTGTAACGTCTTGGTGTGGGTGCAAATTGACATGAGCAAATTCAAGGGCAGGACTTGTTAGAAAAGGCATTTAAACCAGTTTATATTCATTTAAAAAGCTTTCTACTCACCCTTCTCTGTGAGCTTCTCCTTTCTCTAGCTCTTGTATAACACCCAACAACACCTTTATGGTTTCCTGACTAGAGCTGATCAAATTTTCCATCATCTGAAGCTGCGCTTTCAAGTCCACAACTTCCGTGTGAGGCACAATTTGTTGGCATTCCTCGCTCATCGCCACGGCCGTCTGGCAAGGCTGGTTCTCCTCCGTGGGTGAAATGTTCATCTGAAGGGTCTCTTCGTTACATTCGCTGGCTTGGCACTGCGCCCGCGACGAGCAGGCTCGAGCATCTCCCGCCTGGGGTTGAACACCGTTCAGGTGCACAGTCCTCTTTTTGTCCTCCTCAACTGTTGGGCACGGTGACCAATCGGTCCCGGCTGTGAGGTTTGGCAGGTCGGGCTGCGAGGTGTTTGAACCACCCGCTGGTAAATAAACAGTGGCCACTTCAGTCTTGAAGACCCTCCCGTGGAGGGGTTGGGTGATCTCCTCGCTCCCTGGCCTCCCCGTCGCCTGTTTGCCTCGGCCAGGTGGCCGGGCAGCGGTGTGCTCCTCCAAAGTGGGATCGGCCAAGTTTGGGAGAGAAGGAGGAGGAGGAGGAGGCGGCTCTTTGGGAGAGCTGTGCAAATCGCTGCTTTTCCAGGCCTCGGCCCCGTTGTCCCGAGATCCCACGTTGGCGCGTTCGTTGATGTGGGAAATGAACTCCGCCGTCTGCAGGCTGCCGGCCTTCTTGCTCCACGGAACGGCCTCCCCTGAGCTTCTACCGTCTCTATCCTTCACGTCTATTAGAAACCCGTTGTTTTGACTCTTAAAGGTGTCGACAGTCGAGGCGCTTTTAAGAATATTCCCTTTTTTCCGGTCCAGAGGAAAAGTCTGGTAACACTTTTTAAGATCGGGTGAAGTCTGAACTCCTGTGCTCTTGGTGACGTTGGGTATCGATCTCCGGGCAGGCACTGTCATGTATTTGCGATAAGCTGTTTTGTAGGAAATGGCCTTGGCTTCTTTCTTGTCGGGATCCTGCGTGGTGGACAGTTGTTTGTCCCTCTGCTCGTTCTGGGCCTCGCAGATATCTTTAAATCTCACCTGGAGAGCTTTGTTTCGTTTCTTAATCTGCCGGTTGGGATCCAACGCGTATTTCATCTCCAACGCGAGCGAAGCCGCTGGTTCAACTTCGCTTTCCGAGGCGGTGAGTAAGCATTTGTTGGGCTCCTTACTCACCATGATGCCTGCACGCAAAAACAGTTCAAAAAAGCTTTGTGTTACAACAGAAATGCTACTTTCCCCCCCTAAATTTGCAATATTTGAGCTAAATTCCTCTGCTTTGACTGAGATGGTTGCCACTCGCTGCCTTTTTGCTCAGTTCTCTTCAATCTTAGTCCTTCATGTTAGATTTTGGTGTTTTGCTAGAAAATTGTGCTTATTATCTCATTTTGTTAACACAAAGTAGGACTCAACCTGGTTTTTGTGGCACCAGGAGTTTTTTCCAGACCCCTTTTCAGAGGACAGGCACTGTGACTGTCATGCCCAGGGTGCTAGCTCAGCACTTGAGCTTCACTGCAAGGGAACATGGCCTCTTAGAAAGCGAGTCACCTAAATTGATTTGCTAATTAATAAAAAGTACAGGGGAAAATGAGAAAACAAGTGTCTTTGTACAAGTAAAGAAGAGTCTAAAGCATTGACCACCCTTAATGCTCCTTCAGTGCAAATGTTTAGTAGCAAGAAGTGTCAAACTGACGTTATTTTTTTACAGTATGATGCTTATGAAACATGTTTCTTCTGTGTAATGTGCTCTGCGCGTTTGCAAGAAATTAATCAGTCGTTAGAGGTGTCATTATTTTTATTTTTTAAAAAATTACCTCATAGTTCAACCTAAAAGCTGGATACAGATTAATTATTGTTAGTAACTGGTTGGTACTGTTGTACGCATAAAATTTATGAACTACTGAAGTTTGTGGAATAAGTCAGCAGTGTATCAATTAAGGTTTTGCTTCAAATGCAAAACAACCCATCCTTTACTAGAAGCAGTTAATGTGGCTTTATAATAGAGCTTCTCATCCCAAAGGATCCAAAAGCACTAAAAAAATAATAATAATTAAAAAAAAAACACAAAAAACCCCTTGTGATGATTCACAGAAATGACTTAATCTGCTACTGAAATATAAGCACCTCCTCGAGGATGAAAAGATGCTTAATGCAGCACATGGAATAAAAAACCCCAAACAACACAAAAAAACAACCAAAAAACCCCAAACCCCAACCCAAAAGCTCTATTGCTGTACGGATCATCTGGGATCTTTAGTAACTGGAGAGTTAAAACCTCATTTTTACACTTCATTTGAAGTTGTCGCTTTTACTCTCCTATTGCACAAATTTCTCTTTAATGTTGAGATTTAGTGAATTACCAAATTACCACTTAATCCAAGTATTCTGCATGTGTCTCCTAGTTAAATACCAACGTACCCTCAGAGGGACTCGGTGTACAATGTAAAATGAGTAAAGGGACTTTCAGGTATCGCATCTAAAGTACATTTTAAATTAAAATTCTCTTGTCTATTAAATAAAAAATGTGAAACTCTTGAATTGAAGAGTTAAGTGCCACAATAGCATATGTTTTATAAAGTCAGTGAATAAATCCTTATGCCTGGTCTATATTTAGTTTTAATTAAAAAAAAAAAAAAACAAAACATAATGGAGAAGTAATTTTCAATGGAAAATTGAATGTTTATGAGTTTTAAAAAGTAATAGTCACATTTCCCAAAAGTTATTAAGACACACAAATGTGCATGGTAAACAGTCTATATACTGTGAGGTTGGACTTCAGGTTATCAAGTTGCTTTCAAAAAATCGCATGCAAATGTGTCATTACTTAATTATTTTTTTAATGTTTTACTTCCCTGGTCCAAGTAGTTTTTGAACAAGTAACTGAAATAGTCTAGAATCCCTCTAGTTTGCCTTTTTTTTTATTTAACTTGTCAGGTTCAGGTAGTGGTGAGTGAGCAGCAGTCATTTTAGAAGGGGAAGTTTCTATCTGAATCTGTGTGATGTAGTAGAAAGTCAGCAGAAGAAAGCAAAAAGAGGGTAGATTTAGGGAAAAAAAACATTCAAATAATGAACTAAATTATTAAATATGACGTTTCAAACTCTATATGTACATAAAGATCGGCAGAAGAAAGCAAAAAGAGGGAAGATTTAGGGAAAAAAAACCATTCAAATAATGAACTAAATTATTAAATACGACGTTTCAAACTCTATATGTACATAAAGATCCAGTATGTGATACCAGGGTGATCAAGCCCCTCTTTTGGGGGAGAAAAGATGATGAAATGGAAATGCTAGGAGGCCTTTAATATGGACAAATGGACAAATATAGAGACTTTTATACCCCCCTCAAAAAAAACAAAAAAAAAACCCCAAAACCTACATACAAATGTCAGACATTTCTTCTTCCAGTTGAAACCCTCAGTAAGGAGTCAGTCCTGCTTTGTGGGGAATATTGGTATCCTGTACTGGCTGTTTGGGGCTGTCTTTTAATATTTGCTGAGTGGAAATGGCAGGAAGATGTGGCAGGGGAGGGTGAGGTTGGCCATGAGGAAAAGGTTCTTGAGGCAGAGGGTGGTGGAGCACTGGAACAGGCTCCCCAGGGAGGTGCTCATGGCACCAAGCCTGACAAGATTCCAGCAGCATTTGGCCAAGGCCCTCAGGGACATGGTGTGAATGTTGGGATTGTCCTGTGCAGGGACAGGAGTCGGACTGGATGATCCTGGTGGATCCCTTCCAACTCACAGCATTCTGTGATTCTCAGTTATTCCTTTATTCGAGGGACATTCTGCATAGAGAGCTCCACTGGTTCACAGCTTCCAAAGGTGGTGATGGTGGGAAATACAGACTTCCATCCATCCATCCGTTTGTCTGTCTAGGGGTGGAATTTTTGGAATGCTTTAGTGAATAACAAAGTGCTGTCTAAGATACAAACCTGATCCGTTAGCCTGCAGCTGGACAGACAGTAGCTTTAGACACAGCTAAAATACGTTGTAAAAACTATTGTCAAAACCAAAAATTCTGCACTTTCATTAATGCAGAACTCCTGGAAGCAAATCTTCCGTAACAATCTGTAAAATTAATGAGTTTCCCAAAAAACCAAATACAACAACACAACAGCCGTTCTATCCATTAGTTTTCAAATCTGCTAACGCGAGTTCGTGCACTACCAAGAAATTGTAGCAAACATGAAATGTCGCATTTACAAAGATGTGAAATAGTAATTATGTCTGCAAAAAGAGCCCACATTTTTACCCATGAAAGAAGCTTTACAAAAATTGGATGTTAGATCTGAAAAATCATTTCTTACAAACATCTCTTAGGATACCTCAAAGTTGTCAAAGAGAGTTTTCTGTCTCTTGGTTCCTTGGCAGTAGGATCCACTAATATACAATTTATTCTGAATTACTGGCTTGATATTTTATTAGTGTACCTCTGGCCTGTCTCAATTTTCAGATTATTTGAGACATCATTTTAATCCCATAATCTTTGAGGTTGCTGGATTGCCGGGTCTGTTTGGAATGACTCAATGGATGGAATTAATGAAGTTCATGAAATGAAACCAGGAGCCTGGTGATATTCTAGAGAATAGGAAAACATAAATGGAGTACTGTGTTCTGTGATGCAGTTAATTTTAAATGTCTTTAATAGCCAATGAATTGATTCTTCAAAAATAGCTTGTCTCCCTTCGCACAGGCCTGATTGATTTAGCTAATCCCGAGTTTTCCACTCCCCCTAGTAGCCTGTACTAATAATTTTGTAGGTATCTGTGATGAAGAATGACAACAACTGAAAGAACTGGATTTTTTTTTAAGCCTTACTCTGATCTCAGTGTCTCCGAGGAGAACTGTATGTGCACATTTGATAAAAGAACGGTTGAGCAAACAGTTGATTGTGAGTTAAATATTTAATACGTAAGAGTTTATATAATACTTTTTTTTGGTTTTGTTTCATTTTTGTTTCGAACAATTTGTGTTGACTCCAATTTTTGGCTTACTTAAGCATTAGCATTTACAACAGCATCCCCTGGGAGGCTTTGCTTCATCATTCAACCTGTACTTGAGATCAGAGCGTGCCCTCCTGGCGCTGCAGTTAGTGCCAATATTCCCAGTGATTTCCTGGGGAACGGGAATCCTGGAGGATGCTGTGGGCACAGCCTGGACCTGGAGACTGAAAAAGGAAATCTCCCTGTGATGTGTTTCCTTTCCCTGCACCACTTATCTGTAATTCTGCTGCCCGTTACTCAGCTCAGTACGTTTTCTGGAACACAAGGCAAGGCTGGCACATGTAAAATCTGCGACTGAAATACCACAGAAGTTGCAGGATTTTTGGGATTCTGCTGGGATGGAGTTTCTCAGTTTGCATGAGTGCTGCAGAGTTGATGGCTTACTCTGTCAGGGGGCTAAGACAGGCTCTGAATTTGAATCTCAGTTGCAGATGCCAGTTAAATACAGATAATAAATTTAAACTTCTTGTCTGTAGTTACTCTTAAGCAGACCCTGATTGCATGGGATCATTTGCTAAGCTAAATATCTAAGTAATTGCAAGAATTTATTTTTCACTTTTTAGCCTCAATTTGTTTATTAACTTCTGTCTGATTAGGCTTAAGCAGTGCTCCCTTATGTTTGAATATGGAACTATTATTACTATTATAATTACTTAATAGTAATTATTACTATTAAGTAATAATGATAAAAAAGTGAATAACTTTTTTTTAATTATTATTATTATTAAGTTAGTACAAAATCTTGAGGGTAAGTTATGGAACCACCTTTATTATTTCAGGTTCTCCATAGCATGTTTTATTCAATCAAAGAAATCCTTCCCTTTCAGTTCTCCATTTATTGATGCTGTCCAGATTTCTTCCCCTCACTTCAGCGATGCAATTTCTAGGAAGGAGACTTATTTTATGTGATTCACACCTGGGTTATGAGGAGTGAGTTCCCAACAGTCCTGTCCAAGGCTCTGTCAGCAGGTAAAGCTTAGGTACAGAAGTAAATCTTTGCAGGACCTCCACTCTTAATCCAGAAGCTCTGCAAAGTCGCTGCTGTGCTGTAAGGTGAATTATAGTGTGGAATTTCCAGACTGATTTGTTAATGAAGGAAAAGGAGATTTGTAGCTTACCTTATAATTTATATTTTATTTCTGATGGTTTTATGATACAGAAGAATACTCAATGTGTT